TTCGTTTCTGCAATGGGGACTGTTTTAAAATGGCACAACGTCCCTCGTATTCCATTTCCCCTCTCTTTTGGCCGAGGGCCAGTCTCGACGCTCTCCTCTGGACTTCAGTTTTCTAGGACTAGGAAAGAGCACCACACTGAAACAGCATACTCCAGGATCGGTCTTACTAGATATTTGTATAGCAAAGAGAATTCTGTTACACTGGTTTTAGACCCAAGCACGCGCTTAGTGACCCCAACGACTCTGTTAGCTTTGTTGACGACTTCGTGAATATGATCGCTCTATGAGAGATGACGTACGATATTGTAATACCGAGATCTTCTGATATTTTTCAAGCTCTTTAGACATTCACCATTTAGATGAGGAGTGCATAGCTCCCTTTCGACTTATCTTGTTTGTGAGTTATTCTCATTGTTTCAAATTTATCCGGGGGTTAAACTTCAACTGCCATTCAGGTTTTGCACCCTTCTGTAGCTTTTTGTGCGTCGAAACAAGTCAGATTGTAGCACGTGCATCATCAGGAATGCTCTCCAACTCTACAGATTTTTTGTCGCCTGCGTACAATTTCACGGTGGAAGCCGAAACTCCAATGGATATATCGTTGACGCACACTATGAACAAGATGGGCCCTAAAATTATTCCCTGAGGTACGCCTGATTTTACCTAAGTCCATGACGAATAATTGCCGAGCAATTAAAAACACTTTGCGACCGACAGTAAAAAGCTCCGAAAGCCATTAATTGAGAAGAGGGCCATCAATACCGTATCTTTCTAGCCTATGAAGCAGATCGATGTCTGTGGGACACTGTCGAACGCTTTGGAGAAGTCTAAGAGAATTACGTCCGTTGGATTTCTCTTGTTGCGAGCTTTTGCCTAGCTGTGTAACCGTAGAACGAGCCTTTTTCATGTACGCAAATTGTTTCCGATTGAATGGTATAACATTGGCTTCGCCCCCATAATCCATAATTCTGCGTTTAACTATTTGTTCTGCTAGTTTACTGCCGCTATCAATTAGAAAATCAGATCGACATTGTAAATGATTTCAACCTTACTCAAATGGTAACGGAACCAACTCGACAAGGAAACATTCTTGACCTGCTTTTCACATCCCACCCAGATCTTGTTGATAAGTCTACATAGTCCCGAGCATGAGTGACTATGATGCTGTTATCTGTGATATCAATCTCAGAGCAAACCCACCAGCTAACCCTAAAAGGAATGTTTATCTCTACAAGCGGACTGACATCAGTGTGACATGGAAGGCCTTCGGCGGACACTAAAGGAGCGCTTTGAGCGATTCTAAGCATACCGTCCTGAAACAAAGTCTATTCGAGCAAATTGGGATCAGTTTAAAGCAGATATTTATAACTCCATTAACGAGTTCATACCACAGCGAACACTCAAAAACAAAAGATCTCTCCCATGGTGCATGCAAACATTAGGCGTCTCATCCGTAAAAGCAGAGATATTATAACTCTGCACGTCGCAACGGAAAGGAACAAATTTGGCGTAGACTTAGGCATCTCCATGAGCTGGTACATAAAGAACTACAGCTACCACACCAACAATAAGTAAACAATTTATCAGAAATTAATGAGGCCGACCCTGTTCATGGCCATGCCAAGGAAGGTGTCACCAAGCGCTTCTGACAATATATTAAAGCTAAACGTAGAGACTCCGCTGGAATTGCTATCTTGAAATCACATGGCAAGGAATTCACCAAACCCAAGAAGAAAGCAGACATCCTAAACGAACAAAGAGCGGACAGTGTATTCACACTTGAGGATCCAGTTCCACCACAACTACACGATAGATTATAACGCACATATAGATGGAGAGAGAACCGATTCACATTCCAAGATGCCCGGAGACAAACCGTCAGGCCCTGGAGACTTATTAGCATTTAGGTCCTTTAACAGCTTTTCAATCTTGTTAATGGAACAATTACAGATGTCAGAAAGCTTGGGTGACAACATGATCAAAATTACATAAAAGCGCTGGGCAAAATTGAAAATGCCTTAGAACGCGGTTTTGTTAAACACGAGTTAAACTCCTTTTAAACGACTGGCCGAAAGTTTCTAGCCGTGAAGGAAAATGCTAGCGACCCTCTGGTTTACCAGTCGATTAAACAAACGCAGTGAATTAACACGGATAAGTCAAGTTGAAAACAGCTTCCGGACTGAGAGAGTCATATAGGTATGACTTGTAAGAGCAGATGTAGAAAGGGTCTGTTTAACTTCCAGCGACATGAATAGTTTTACAAAAGGGAGCGAGTGAACTCGACACATAGCCGATGCTGAATGACAAGACCCTTTACTCCCGATGTCAAGAGTAGGGTCGAGTCACTAGTACGAGTGCCCTATGCGACCTATGGAAGATGGAAGGAAGATAGTAGCCCTATACCATTGATATAAGGGTTTTTAACATTTTAAATGTTACCAATTTTGAATGCTTCGGCGAGTAGGAATTTTTTATGAGCCTAACCTAATTCGAATTAAGGCCAACCCAATTATTTAAGCCAGGAGATCTTAATTTGAGCCGAACTAGATTCGAAAGGAGGAACTGTTCATTTTCATTTTATTTCTTGGAAAAGACGTTATAATACGGTACTTGAAAATTTCGGCGTCTCAATCAAAGCCTTTTCAAGGTCGCTGCAAAGTCGAAATTCCCGGCTGGGGTTGTAACTTGATAACCAATTCTCTGTTTTGTTTCCTATTTTCTTTTTTCTCTTTCCACATGCTTCGTTATTATATTTTCCATGAATTTTATTTATTACATAGTTTTATAAATATTCTAACTTAATTATTTCTATATATGTTACCTAGTATTTTAGTTAGGTCTTTTGGGTAGGTGTCCTTACTTAATGGGTAACCGCTATTTTTTGGCAACGGAATATAGTTATCAATATATTATTATTATTATTATTATTATTATTATTGTTATTGTTATTATTAGGTGCCCTATACGAGTTTCAAGTACCATCACAAATAGTAGAAAGTGAGGATCAAGGGTTGGGTCAATTTACTTTTACTATCACTAGTACTGGTTCGATTGACTGGTCCCCCGTTTATCTGAGGTGAGAAAAATACTATTTCAGATTTCAGTTAAAGATTTAGCTAGAAAAAGTCTACCTAATGCAGCACTATCGTGTGTGATCACCATAATCATCAATATCAATCATCATTACACCGTCGCTATCATCATCATCATCATCATCATCATCAACATCATCATTAGCAACATCAACATCTCTATCACCATCACTATCATCATTAACATTATCATCATTATCACCATCACTATCACCGTCATCATCAATTTGATAAAATTTTTACAAGTAAAATTGACAAGTGTAGCTATTGATTTCGGACTATAAAACAACCGCTAAGCTAGTAAATTACACTTGACTTGTAAAAGTTGTATTAAATTGCCCCAGACTCTAAAACAATACCTTCGCTTGAAAATCACACTTGTTAGTGTTATAAAATCAACTCCAGTATGCAATACGTACACAAACAACATAATGAAGTTGCCCAAATTCCTTTTGGGTGTGACACATATAAGACAACAAGCCTTCTTAGCGAAAAACGTTCTAAGTTCTTCCTGTAACTTTGGGTGACTTCGATTGATTGTATTCCGGAATAACAATCTTTATTACAAATCTCCTCTACCTTGATGTTTGGGCCATTTGAACGCTCCATGTATCTTAATATGTTATTTCAAGTAGATTTCTGGCTATTTATTCCAGTCTAACATCCAGAACAATTGAATGATTTCTTATTTCGGAATACAGTAAATCCAACGCGCCCTGAACTAGCCAGGACCACAAATAAAACGAGTTGCATGCCTCTTACCTTAGGCAGGTGTTGATTTATTTGAAGTACAAACAGCTATTTCGAGAAAGGTTGTCGGAAAAATGTGCACGCGACAATCCCGAAAGGTAACGTGGGATATGATCAATACACTGTTCCTGACGATTGTAGCTGTCGAATTTATTTGTGGTGCTTTCCTCTAGCACTCGCGAACACATGTCCACGGCCTCAAGTGCCATTCTTTCAAATTTCTTTGAAGAAAAGTGAACTCAAAACCACCCACAACACCTTTTTGGATTGTCGCGTGCACTTTTTCCGACGACCTTTCTCGAAATAGCTGTATACTGGTTGGTTCACGATGTCAGGACACCTCTCGCCTAACCATGAAGCTTGAATTTCCCGTAAGAAATGCCCATTATTATCAATACGCGCGGCCGAATGACTAACTGCCCTCTGGAACACGCGCCTGTTTACGGACCAAAAGGGAAATGCATGGGCTGAAAATGCATTTGCCGTCCTGATTCTGATTGGCTGCAAAGATGGTAACAATGATTAGCGAAAAGACAGTTTATATTTAAAAAATAGTAGTCTTTTTAAAACTAGATTATATTTGACTTTAATGTAAACAAAATGGAATTTGTTTGGGCTCTTGTTTAGATGATCGTATTGTAGCAACAACTTTCTATTTCATTATCATGCTACATCAATGTTAAACATTGTTGTCTTATTAAGTGATTTGGCCTTGTGTATTGATAATAATGATATTTACATGACTTTTGGCAGGCATATTATAGTTTATTTGTGTCTCTTGTAGCATCATTTGCACCCTCGCTCCGCTCGGGTGTAAATGATGCTACTCGGGCCATAAATAAACTATATGCCCTCCAAAAGTCAGGTCAAGATTGTCCTATTCTCATTTTCTTAGAAAACGCGGAAAAATGTGGGGGTAAAGTGGATTTAAATCATAGTTTAGTTTGAATAGCCAGAAAAAAGTCTCAAGAAAGAGTGGACTGTCAACTTACTTAGCCTGGACAAGCATCTCTGTGTAATAACCCGAAAGGAGGAGAAATAAGAATTAAAATAACTATATTTTTTCAATCACCTTTTCGTTTGTGTTTTGAAAAGCTACGTTATGAATAGCAGACTTTTCTATGAAGTTGAAAACGCGTTAATAAGTTAATTTAGGTCTTACGACTTTTCTACTTTGATAAAGCACATCAGCTGAGGAATAGCCGAAACCCTAAGACATAAGAAATGGTACAAGAGAAACTTAAATAACGCTATCAGGAGTTAGTGAACAGAGAAAAATTTGCGGGGAATAGAAATTTGAAACAAACAAAATGTATCGAAATGTAGTACGTGCAGTAAGGCAGTCGTCAATAGTAGTCTACTGAAGTTCTGGCTAACGAGCTTCCAGCACTTTGCAACTCTAAATTCGGGTTCAACAAGGAGGGTGTCAAACATATTCTTAGAATTATATCCTCGTTTCGTATTTGTAATCTATAAGCAGGGATTCTTTTCTTGTTTCAGGACCTTCACCGCGGACATTACAGCCACAGCTAATTTAGATTACGTACAGATAGATCACGTCCTAGAAATTTCACCCTTCGTGGGGGTGGTGACGATTGCTGTCCCTTACCTTATTTTAGACGATGATGTGTTTGAAGGAGACGAAACACTGGTATACGCATTTTCACTTTTTGACGATCCATCCGCGTCCGGTAACCCCATCGCAGGTCCTGCCATTATAACATTTGTAATTGTAGATGATGATGCACCGCGTAAGTACTCCAACGAAGAAAAATATTTTCAATATAATTCCTAAAACCCTGGGCCCAGTTGTTCGAAGGCCGATTAGCGCTTAACCCGAGGTTAAATTTAACCCGAGTTTCTTTTTATTGTGTTTAAAAGCATTTTTAAACTTTCATATCTGAATTCAAATCTTAGCCTGAAATTCATCCGATTGCTTCGAGTCGTTTTCTCCTCTCAACAACGTCTGAATCGACGAGCCGTTAATGCCGTCCAGTGACGTCACTCACTACCCGAAAACCGGGTAGTGATTTTGATTGGTTGATTGTCTAAACATTCGCATAATTATGTATAATTATGAAAAATTTTAGCGGGATTGTCGCTTGATATTCAGCGGATCGCATCCCTGGCATCCTTTCGTTTAGTTGAAACATTTCGATAAGCGCAATCTTTATCTTAAACAGCAAAATTGCCCTTGTCTTCGAAACTGAAATGCTAAATTAAACTGCGAACGAAGAATCATTGCGGAGAGTCGGTAGGTTTTTCATTTAGAGCCGCTTTGTGGTTTCGACAGCCGGTGATTTTGTTTACGCGAAGTTTTCTGAAATCAATGTTATAATTCGACCTTCTTGCTATTTTTACCGTCAAAAGTAATGATTCTGTTAGCTTTTCTTTCTTGTCTCCTTGTTTTTTCTTCGTTAAGGACCAAATAGCATCTTTTCAATTAAAGCAAATAATTGTGTTTTTGAACTACGTGTTCCGTGTGTGTGTTTATTTCATTGCGTGATTGCTACCGAGTTTGATTGTAGAATTTAGTACAACCGGTTCAGAGTTGTGCTGCATGCAGTTGATAGTTTGAACGTTAAACATGAATTATGATCGAAAAAAATAAAGCAGTTCTGTATCATGCAGACATTTCCAAACGATATTTCTCGGTTTACCACTTGAAAATCGTGTTTTACTTTTTGCATGAATTAAAGCAAAGGTTCATGAGTAGTGACGTCACTGGACGGCATTAACGGCCGGTCGATTCAGACGTTACTGAGGGAGTAATAACGACTCGAAGTAATCGGATGAAATTCAGGCTATTCAAATCTCGCACTAACCCTGGGTTATCTTAACCCAGCTTTGAACAACTCGGCCCTGAACAATAACTCAGGATATCTAACTAATTAGAATTGGTAGGGGTAATATTGTTACGATATCGTCTCTTTCTATATATATCGTCTATATATTTATGTATTGAACCAAAGCTAAAAGCGAAGTTCCTGTTAATACATTAAGAGCGGATGTCAGTAAATATCGACCAGAGGTCTACAAAAGTGAAAAATCGAAAATCCTCAAAAAAATTCACAAAGTAGCACTAGGTAAGCAATTAACATAAATGTAATTTTTACTTCGATCCGATAATTATTTTCCACGTACGGGGGGGTTATTGGTTTCGCGGCTCTCGGACCGGGTTTTCCAGGCCCGAGACCATGTGTAGCAAAAAAATCGTTTTAAAATTCAAATCCATTGTAATGCGGACAACAAATAACTTATTCAGAAGAGTACTTAATTGCACACATTCTAAGTGGTGATTTACTCAGTTTGAACGAAAGTGTAATATTTTGGAGATTTTTCATTATTTTCAATATTTTGAACGTTTTCGTTCAATGAAAAAATGGCAAATTTCAAAGCCCAAAATCGTCGACTGGTACCTCGATTTCAGTAACGAGTCTTATACCACGTTAAAGAGCGTTATCTCTTCTTTCAAAATCTGTTTTCAAAACTACGGGCAACTTAAAAGAAAATTTTTGAGGCCAAAAAATACAAGTAGTACTTTTCTGAAATTTGAGCTTTCCAGACGCGGCGGGCCGATGCTAAAAACTTGGAAAAATACAGTAAGAAATCAGTTTGAGCAATAGTGGTTTCATGTTATCAGCTTTCAGAAACCAAGACGTGTTTATACAGCGATCTGATATAAATTAATGCCGTTTGCTATCAAGAAAGGCAGATTTAAGCTGTCAACTCCTGCCAAGTGCACCAGTCACGTGAAGTTGTCAAAGGGAGGGCAAAGCACTAATATTAAAAAGTCTTAAAATTCAAAACGTTTTACGTCCATGAAATCAGATTTTAGCGTACAAAACAATGTTGTGAATGTCTGTTGTTCGTACCTTAGCATGGTGTTTCCATATATTGGAAATGTCAAGTATCCACACGGGAGAACATACCAAACAACAACGTTTCAAATCCAAGCGCCGAAAGATCGTAAACGGCAAAGATTGCGTTACATTTCACAGAACGACCGCTTACCACTGTTGTCACTCCTTTTTTCGCTGGAAGCTACGAGGAGTTTTCATTCCGTCATGAGTGATTCTTGATCAGCGTTTCCTTGAAAGTACGACCCCGGACAGGTGATAACTGAGGACGTTTCGTCAAGACTCCTGTTGTTCAGTTTCAGGCTTTAGCAGGTGCGTAGTCAGGATTTTTCCGGAGGTACGCCCAACTTTTTCTACATCTTCTTCCCCCCCCCCCACCCCTCCACCCCAATCTCAACATTTTTTTAAGGTGCCTTTATTAAAGGTGGGGTTAACGGTTGTAAGCAAAAGCATTTTTGCTGTTTATGAAATGACACAACCTCTAAAATTCTTTAATTCTGTCGGCTTGTTATGTTCATTGACGTCAACCGTTTATCATTAATTCAGCTATTAAAAATCAAGCTTGTAGTACCTCCGACTTTAGTTTACAAATGACTCTTTTTACCCCTTTTTGTCACATTATTTTTGACCGACAAAAGCACCACACATTGACGTAATTGTGCCCTACTTCGTCTACTCCGAAGACAGGTCGTGGAGAAAACAACGCGTTCACGCTTTACATCATCAAGCTTGCTATATAAATAAATCATCCAAGATTCGGTTCTCCAATTAATGTCGTCGCTTCTCTGGAAACCGATTTTTTTTAGTTATGTTTATTTCATTCTATTTTTTTCCTCAACGTTTTCGGGTACGCACGTGCAAACCGTGCGTACAAGTAGCTACGCCCCTGTTTAGTCTCCTTAGCCCTGAGCGTTCCTCTCTTGCGGTTTTCGCGGGAGTTCAGGATGTGGTCCACCCAGTATTTCACGTCTCTTTTAAATGAGAGGCAGCACTTCTTGTTTACCGTTTCGTTATCAGACAGCGCTTAGGCTCTTAGCCTTTCATTTAATTTTGATCAAATTTTTATCATTTAGTTACTCAGTATACGTTCGATCCTGTCCTTGTAAACTTATACTTTTATACTTTAAGGGAGCTTAATACCTATATTAATTTTTTCTTCGTTTAGTGTCGTCCAAAAGACCCAGTTTTTTGGCATTTTTTAAAAAAGCAAGAAAAAGAAACGACAAGGTTTATTTTTTTTGGACTTAGATTAATTCTTTTAATCTAAAAAATTAGCATTATAACATCATTTCGAGGCATAAAACGTTCGGTGGTGTATCCTCTTTGCTTTTTACCCTTTTTGGGCCTTTTTTTTTTGAAATTGACCATCAAATTTTCCGCCATATTGAGTTTGTGTCGATTTGGTGACCATGTCTTGTTGTTTTCAGTCTCCACGGCAATGATGCTGGTGTTTCAGGCCTCCCGTTCTCAGATTTCTTGTGATTTTTTTTTTCACCCCACCGACCGACCCACCCAAAACCAGGAAACCTATTCGACGCTAAACGAACGAAAAGGGGATGACCTAAGCCTTATGGTTTCTTTTTGGGCTTCCTCACCACATTGCTTCTGCGTGTTTCTGTATACTTGTCTTTTGCTTTGTTTTGTTCTTTTTTGTCGGTAAAATAAACTGAAACTGTACAAAGACCCTCAATATTCCCTTTGGAGGTTCTCGAACGCGCATAAAAAAAATGAAAAACGCGATGATTTATTGACCGCAAGGGCAATGGGGTGGGGTTAGGGCTCGTTACTGCGCTCCGGTTCACTCGTACGCTGTCAAATGGTCCCGAAATACAAAATGAAAAATGACTGTGGACAGACTATTCACGTCTAGACATCAAGCATCTTTTAAGATGGGACTTATCGCCTCTCCCTGTTCATGGAGTTGATTCAAGGTGTTGACGTTAATTTCGTGATGCCCTGCATGTTGCCAGGACATGTTTCAAAAGGGCCTTTCCAAAGGTACGGAGTCCGCCGTCACCTTGTCAACCGTGCGAGAAATGATGTACTTCACAAAAACAAAGAGAAGTTATTTTCGATTTGCCCCGCCCCCTACCCCCGAAAGTCCCCGACAGGACCGCTTCAAAGTACTCCCCATGTGGTTGCGCGGGGGATAGTAACAGGTCTACCTAATTGCACCGTGCATCAATGACAGTTTAGCTCAATCAGAAGCCCCTTTTCCCTGGCTAGTTCAAGGTGTGTGCACCTCCTTTAAGCTGTTGTTTTCGGTTCTTACTGAAATTTTTGATCTTGAGGAAATTC